ATGGTCATCAAACGTGCTCGGTTCCAGATTCACCTGAATAATCGACTCGCTTGCACGAGTTGAGATCGGTTAGGAAAGCGGAAGTTCGTCTCTTACGCGACTCGCCTACCCGAGTCCAAAGACGAATCCACCTGCAAACCTCAAGGCCATTAGTATAGCTGGGTATCCGCTACCCCACGTGCTGGGATGGACCATCCCATCTCTCTCGACCCGAAGGGAGAGGGCACAGTACCCTCAGACCGTCAAGCGGCCGCTCACAGGACCCGAAGGGAGAGGGCACAGTACCCTCAGACCGTCAAGCGGCCGCTCACAGTACTAAGGCCTGGACAGGTATCGAGTCAACCTGAGCATTCATAAATGCGACTCACCTCGGCTGTCTGAGTCAAGAGCTGGATCCGCCAGCATTCGGCGAACTGTCCAAACCCACTCGAGTGCCAGGAAGAGTCAAGAGCTGGATCCGCCGGCACTCGGCAAGTGGGCTAGACCCACTCGAGTACTGTGCACCCACTTCACCGCCTCTCCTGACCGGAAAGGAGAAAGCACCGTGCTCAAGGCACGTCGGACGGTCACGCACAGTACGAGTGATCGGACAAACGCCTCATCACTCTGCGAACTCATAAATACGGTTCATTAATGCTGGTTAGGTCCACTCGGATAGCAGACGGCCGTTGCCTCATATACAAGGATGGACCTTCCCATTTTAGGTGACAGGACATAAAGTACAATCCCTCGAATGACCATTCATGGTATCGAGGAGCAGCTAGACGTCTCTGAAGAAGATGTGGTCACATCCCATAATTCAAGGAGTAGTCAAGCTGTCCTTCTTCCATTTAAAAGCCCCTTCTAGCACACTGGAAGATAGGTCGTAAAACTTAGAGAAAAAGAGTTGAGACCAAGCTCTCTGCATAATCTTTGCATTGCAGCACCACTGTCTAGTTCCGAGCTCCGATCGCCGGCGAACTAAGCAGACCCAAACTCCATCGATTCGAGCTTCTACTGCGAACTGAAGCTCTCCAGCAACCTCGATCGAACGGTCCAAGGGAAGCAGACTCGACACGAGCATCGAGCGAAGCGTCCTATAGCCACCTAAAGTCCCCACACAAAACAAAGAGGGCATTCCCTCTGCTTCTGTTGTAACCATTTGATTATTAGTTTGTAATAAGCTTTCTTATTAATACAAACGAACACTCCCTGTTTTCGGGAAATCAAATTTACACCATACAGAAGATGGCGACCACAGTGGGAGGAGCTGTTTCATCAAACGAAATGGTGGTGACTCAATTTTACGAAGTTGCTGTCGGGACGACTGTAGAGTCCCTGGAGATTGAGTTCGACCAGGCCAAGTACGAAGAGTACTTGTCTTCCTCATCCTCTGGTGGCGATGAAGAGCCCACTCCCTCGCAATCGATCAAGGCCAAGCCAGAGATCGAGCGTAAGAGGCAAGGGCCTGCCAAATGGATCGCCAAGCGGTCTACGCAGACACCTGCCTTGGAGGAACACCGGTTCACTCCGGCACAAACGGTACTGCCGCAGACCTAAACTCCATCGATTCGAGCTTCTACTGCGAACTGAAGCTCTCCAGCAACCTCGATCGAACGGTCCAAGGGAAGCAGACTCGACACGAGCATCGAGCGAAGCGTCCTATAGCCACCTAAAGTCCCCACACAAAACAAAGAGGGCATTCCCTCTGCTTCTGTTGTAACCATTTGATTATTAGTTTGTAATAAGCTTTCTTATTAATACAAACGAACACTCCCTGTTTTCGGGAAATTAAATTTACACCATACAAGGGGGAAATACTTTTTATATATCACCCGCATCCTTCTTTGGTGCTTTACAGACCGAAGATATATGGCCTTCTTGGCCGCAGTTCCAACATTTCCCTTTGATAGACCTAACCTTCGAATTCGGCCTCTTCTTCGCTGATTTCGACCGATTCCTGTTCTGGTTCCCTTTCTTCTGGCTTCTGCCTCTCTGCTCGAAACTTAGGGCTGAACCTGAACCTTCTGATTCGGACAATTTCCTTCTAACCTCCTCGGATAGAATCATGCTAACAACCTCATTCAGCTTCAACTTCTCCTTCCCCGCCGAATTGCCTACCCATGTGAATGTGGTCCCAAATTTGAATGGGTGGAGGGGGATGTGACACCTCACTACCAAGCACAACTTTTTATACTTGGTACCAAGCATACCCATGTTTCTCATATATATATATGAGGAAACTGGAGGTGCACTGCCAGTTCACAGAAAACGTGCGCTGCAGGGGTTTATTCGCAAAAAACCCAGTGATAACTGCTCCCCAAAAATCTTCGTGACTGACAGTTTCTCTCTCCTTCAACAATTTACAAACTCGTGACCTTCTCTCTCTCTTTCCCCCCAAATCTGTGTCTTCTCTCCCAAAATCCCCAATCTCAAAATCCCCAAAATCCCCAAATCTGTGTCTTCTCTCCCCAAAATCTGTGTCAGCCACCGCGAGGATCGACGTCGCCATTCCGCTCATCCTCTCTTTCTCTCTCCGTCAGCCATCGGACCCGTCAGCCACCGCGAGGATCGACGCCGCCATTCCGCTCATCCTCTCTCTCTCTCCGTCAGCCATACATTACCCGTCAGCCGCCGCAGCAGGATCGACGACGCCGCTTCCCGCTCATTCTCTCTCTCTCTCTCTCTCTCTCTCTCTCTCTCTCCGTCAGCCATCGAACCGTCAGCCGCCGCGAGGATCGACGCCCCCGTTGCCGCCTCATCCTCTCTCTCTCTTCTCTCCGTCGAGCCGCGTGGTCAGCCGCCGCTGATCTCGAGCACTTGTGATCTTGTCGTCATACTTTCTGAGGTGAATACTCATACTCATACTCTTGTGATCTTGTCGTCATACTCATACTAAGTATGTTCAAGTGCTTATGTTCTGCAAACCGAAGAAATTAAGATTCCAAAATGAATGGAATTTGCTATATATATAGGTGTTTTTTAGAAGAAATGATCATATTTATTAAGAGTTTTGGGTAAAAACAGGTTGGAATTGCAAGCATCTTTAGGCTATAGTTTCAAATTGTACTCTTGTTTTGCCTGAACTAGTACCTGAATTGTCAATAATTCAGTTTTGAACTTGGGAGCTTGAATTTCAATATCGTCGTGTCGAAGACTGGGATGTTCACTAAGTAATTGCATTTGGGATGTTGACAAATAACACATTGTTCTTATGCGCAAGTTGATATGAGATGTTGACAAATAGCTAAGTTGCTTTGAATTTCAGATCATTGCTTCTGATCAAAATGGAATACCATTTAGTTAAAAAAAAGATATATTTCAACTGTAGGTGTCATATGAATGCGTTGTTTTAATGTGAAATCGACTCAGTTGACAACTTAGCTATTTGTCAACTTTTAATATTGAAACAATGTGTATCAGTTCAATTCTATGGTATATTGTTGAACTTTTAATATTTTTTCTGAATGTATTTATTGTGGTGTAGTCTTAAATCTGTATTCTTAAGTTACCGATGGAAAGTAACATGCTATCAACTTAAATATCAGTTCATTAGTGTTGTCTTGATTCTGCTAAAAGCAAAATATCAACTCAATTTCTCTTTACCTAATATATTGTTTGCATGAATTCGTTGATTTCACTAGTAATTTGTTTCACTAGTAATATATGGTAGAAAATTACAGTGTTCGAGAGTGTTTCCTTTTGGCCAATTATGGAGTCATCTTCAAGCAATCGTAATCATCATGGACTGTTGTGCCATTGTGGAAGGAGGGCTATACTCTCCAGATCTGGAACTAAGACGAACCCCGGTCGATTGTTTTTGGGATGCGCTAATTAGAAAATGAATAATTGTGGATTCTTCAAATGGGTATCTGATGAAGAGGAGTTTGAAGATCCAAAGGCAGAGCTTGTTCAGACGAAGCAGTCGAGCGTGACGCCGCAAGTTTCAAGAGCCGTGTCAAGTGGAGAATTGCGGGAAAAGAGAAAGATTGAGATTGATGTTATGGATTTGTTGAAGCTTGTTATATTTGCTCTTTTATTTGGTATTTTTCTAGGATTTGTATTTGGTAGTTTTATTGGATTTGTACTAAGTAGGGTGTAAGAATGTATCCTTCAATAGATCACTTGAACGCAAAATGATGCATGGTATTTTTATTGGATTTTAATTGGAAGGGTTTGATGTTTGACAAATGTGTGAAAAGAGCTTCTCTGGCTATATCTGTTCAGTGTGTGGAGAGAGACTTGATTGTGGTTCTTTTGTAATCTGGGAATTGAAGTAGGAGCGTATGACTTGATTGTGGTTCTTCTCTTCTCTACCAATGGAGCAGCGATCACATATTTGTTCGCATATTGTCGCATATTTGTTGCAGATAATTGTCTTGCACATTAAATACTAGTTTTTTGTCATAAAGATAGTGATTTTGGTTTTGTATGTGAGCTCCAGCAGACCTCCCCACTTGCTTACACGATATTCCTAGCTTCATGAAACATAATATGTCCAAATGGTAACAGGTTAGGCTTGTGTAAAATAGTTTATGGGTAACATATATCAATTTTACAAGTTTGACAGATGTAGAATACTAACCTTTCAAGAAAATTCTAATTGAGGACCAAATCTTTTGGTTTCTTCCAAACATACGCCTGTTGTGTGGCCAAATTCATTTTTTGTATTAAGGAAAAAAAGGGGACTAGAATACACATTTTAGTCTGAGCATCGGCCATCTATAGAATCCTCAGATATACATGGAAACAACTTGAAGCCATGAAAAGGAAAAGCTTCATCAGTAAACTAAATCCTCAGATATACATGGAAACAGATAACAAACACTCATCAACAAAATAACACCTATACTACAGTCCAGCAGCATGGAAAAACAGCCATATTCTCGTTATGCATAAAGCTGAGCCACGGCATGGAAAAACAGCCCAATGGACACAAACACTCATCAACAAAATAGACAACAAAATAGACAACCCGTTTCTGTTGAGGCACACCTGACAACTCAAAACCCATTCCTAGTCAACATTTCCAAGTAGCTTCCATTACAAAATAAACTCAAAACGATAGTACATTTGCAGTCTACATTTCCAACTAGCTTCATTACAAAATAAACTCAAAACAAGTAGCTTCCATTTCCAGTTTCTGTTGAGAACTTCATCTGTATTAAAAAATTTAAAAAAACACATTATATTAAAAAAAGGGCAATGTACAAGTTATTTCGTATGTATTAACCATTACCTTCCACAAATCCATGCATTTGGTGCTCAAGAATCCAGACCAATTTTTGTTTAGCTGCAAATCACATGACAAATTAATATATAATCGTACTAAATGCAAAATTTATGTGTTATGAACTTTCATGGAAAAATATTAATTGTACCTTGGCAAGTTGACTTTACAGTTAGTTCTATAATGCCCGAGTTCACCACATCTGCTACATATACGTTTCTTCCTTTCTTTCTTTTCTTGTGCTTATTCTAAACCTGACTGGATTCTAGTTGCATTACGTGGTCGACCTTTAGTCCTTGCAGCTCTATCAGGATCACGAACTGTAATATGAGGAATGTGCTCCATTGTATGTGAGATGTGTGTAGAAATTTGAGGAGTATCCACCATTTGATCTTGATTTGAGGAATGTGCTCCAACATCTTCTTGCAGTGGTTCTATAAATTTTGTCAACACATCATCTAGATTTTGCATCTTCTCTTCTGAAGCAAATGCAAGCTCGAGCGCATTGTTGAATTTTGCTCTTAAAGCCCAAGTTTTCAATAAGTTAATCTTCTCTTCACAGCTTGTGATGTTTCTTCCATATATAATGTTGCCAACCCCAATGTTACGATGTCGAGCATGTATAGTCCAATGGTGTAGGATATAATGGTCAGGTAATGAATCCATTTGCCTAGCCATCATTTGTGATAATATATGTCTACATACAACACCATTACTTTCAAACAAAGCACAAGTGCAACAGAACTGCATCTGACTAGATTGTTCATAAGTGACCACCTCCCATTTTCCTCTATCTGTAAACTTACAGACCTTGTATTCAACAATGTCCCCATCTTTTCTCAATTCTTCACAAAACTCTGTACCGAATCCTTTGAATTCAGTCTGGAACACATCAAACATAATACGTGTATACATTTCTCTAGCTTAAACCTCTATTGGATGTCCAATGAGCATGACAAGCTTTATGTTAAGACTCTTAAAATCTTCATGGGCTTCACTTAGCGACGATGAGTTACTGCTTTTTCATATTGTGTCACAAACTCGTGTAATTGAGTCTGTGAGTTAACATACCCATAAAAAAATGCATTAATACTTTCACTCCTTTGGCTTGATCTCATTCCAGCAAAAAAAGTGTCCTTCAGATAACACGGCACCCAGTGATCTCGGCATTTGTAAATTGTTTGCAACCATCCCTCACCTTCTTCATTTATATCAAACTTCTCTTTCATCTCAACCCAATATCCTTCACATTGTTCAATTGAAGAACTATTATACCACAAGCCCCAATACCTTTGAAACTGTTCACCATAACGAGATATCAAAGTAGGCAAATGATCAATAATATGTTTTTGCATATGCCAATAGCAATAACGGTGTCTTGTCGTTGGAAACACTGAGTGAATAGCATTACACATTGCTCTATCCTGATCTGTTATAATAGCACCTGGTTCAATGCTATGCATGCATTTCAGCCATTCTTCAAATAACCAAACAAAGGTATCTTCCTGTTCATCGACTAATAATGCACAACCAAGTAAAGTGGACTGCCTATGTTGATTTACACCAGTAAATGGAGCAAATGGAAAACCAAGTAAAGTGGACTGCCTATGTTGATTTACACCAGTAAATGGAGCAAATGGAAGACTGAACTTATTAGTTCTGTATGTCACATCAAACACAATAACATCACTGAATTTCAAATAAGATGCTCTTGATCTTCCATCGGCCCAGAAACACTCCTCATTTGTCCACTACTGTCTACTTCTATTGCAAAATAAAATTCTGGATCATTCGCTGTCGCGCTCTGAAAATGTCGAATGATAGATATGCATTCATGACCAATATTGTTGTATCTTTGGGTTCTGATATGATCAATGCATTGTTGTGATGTCACTAATTCACCTTCTCTTCCATTAGTTGCATTGATGACACGAGAAATAGTGGAAGGAGGCATACCTTCTTCCCGCAAACTATCAATAAACTTTTTACATCTTTGAGTTTTATGGAATTGTTGATGTGATTTGTGCATTTTTGCTTTGTCTGGACTACTCAACACATGATTTGTATGTTCTTCAATAAACCCTGTGACCTCCCACGATTTGTCCTCCAATAATTTAATTCGCATCATTGCCTTACATCCCACTCGGGTCTCTCGCCGAACTGGATTTTCTATCTTGTCTCTTTTAGGTCTATGGCCCTCCTTATCACAAACATACTTTCTGTCTACCACTTCTCTAGTCTTACGGGAGTAATTTACCGTTCTCTTTCTTATTCCAAAACCCATCAACAATGCATAAGAGTTATAATAGTTATAACCTTCTTCATAACTATTAAACTTCATTCCTAGTAGTGGTTTAGGAGCATTTACAGTATTGTCGGCAATTGCACTTCCAATAGCACTTGATACGAACTCTACACTAGTTGAATTTATTTCCTCCATTCCAGAAAATAACCAAACCTAATACAACAAAGAAGATTGAATTACAACCAGAAAAGATATAATTATGTATTTTAGGAATAAATTGTATAAGGAAGCAGGGAGAATTCATCCACACATGCAAAGGAGCCAACTAGTTTTATAACCAGGAAAGAGGGATAATTCATTCTAGTTAGCGTCAATTCCCTGGTTCTATAGAAGTTAGAAACAATTCTAAAATATATGCTCAAAACAACTTATTGGAATATAAAACAAAGGATGATTTTCTAATTGAGGTTATGTCTTAGACTACTAACATATTGTCTAATTGAGGATGATTTTCTCAGTTAGAGCAAACTGCAGACCAATCTGAACACATATTTGGAGGAATTGTCAATAATTTTAATGATAATTCTCTCAGAACATGAGGAAATTCCTTCACCAGCAAGGGAAGCAAAAACTAAACATAAACTCAAAGGAGTGAGCTGAGTTACCTGAGAGTCAAAAGTTCAGTGACGGCAAGATCAGCAGCTCACG